AAAACACCCAGCACTTATATTAGTTCCCTTATCCTGAAGGGGTTTTAAGACGTCCAGGATAGCTGAAGAAAAATTTTAATTGTGTCATAGGAAGGTATCCTATGCCCATTACCAAAGACATCTTCTACCAGTTATTTTAAGCTTTTAGAAATCAAAATATCAGTTTGTTTTACTAAAGTTCATTCCCAATTTGATATAAAGAAATATATGATGCTCTATGTACAATTTGGTATATGCAACTCATAAGGAAACAACAGGTATTCATCAAAATAGAAGTGTATTGTTTTCACATAAATAAAACCACAGAAATGAAGTTCCCCAAATCCGTATTTAAATAATTAAACTCCATTGCATTAGGAAATAATGGCACTACAATCTCTAATTGGATTTTTATCAAATTAGTTCTCACCTTCACTTAAAAAAAGTCTATCCAACAGTAGCCTTTTGTAAACAGGTAAGAGGAGTGAATGATAGAGATGAGGAATAAAAGCAGAGCACAAAGCACTTTGCCTATTACAAAACTCTAAATTCGTGAGTTCATTGCAAATGTCATGCAAGAAATGAACTGCATAAACAGTCTCTGTAAAGAAAGGCACAAAGCACAAACAAATGGAAGTACCTCGTTCCTGCCTTGGTTTGTGCCAGGCATTTCTTCCAAAATTTAAGGAGTTGTGCCTTCTAAACAGGACAGACCTATATCTGATAACAATTCAGCAATTTGGGGATATTGCATCTTGAAGTGACAAAGTTACTGCAAACAGTTCTTCAAGAATTTTACTCAGCCTCTCAAGTAGGTAGATCTGTGTCAATTAAGAATACCTTGAAATAGTATCATTATACAGATGGTAGTAGCAAATACAGAATATCATATTAGGAAAGTATGGTCTTTGAATAAATGAAAGAGTCTAACAATTGTCAAAAGCAAGCATGACAAAATCCTTTGGAGACAGGGAAAACCACATTAACTTCCCAAATTTTGCATCCCATACACTACCAAACTTACTTTAATATCTGAGGAATAGTTGCAATGTTAGGAAACTACTCAAGCATGTTTTTTGTGTTTGCTACATATTCTATTTCTACATTTTATAACGCAATATGAAAAAATCCCTGGGACTGCAAGGTCTGTCTATAAAGAACAAGAAGAGATTTCTCCAAATAATAAACGACAAATAAAATAAAGCAACAGCCAAGAAAATTCCAAAGATCTATAAAAATACTGACTCCTGGCTTTGACCATTGAGAAGGGAACATCACCGCTTCGCCCCTTCATGCAGCTTTCTGTCCCAAAGACACTAAGACTACTCAGCTGAGAGACTTCACCCCAACAAGAAGCAGAAATGTGGCTACGGTAGGCAAAAGGACACGGGAAGCATTCCCAACGTTCTGCTGACTTAAACGCACCAATAAATCCACAAATTGCAGTATACTGTTAACAGATGAAACATATACTGTGATGAAACATAGACTGTTCACTTATTAAATTTCAATATAATAGCCTATATTTCAACTTTAAATGCGAACTATTAATGAAAGAAAAAGCAAGCAAGTAGCTGTAAAACTAAAAATTAAGTCTTCTGCTGGCTTCACAAGGAATGCAAGAGAAAAAAAAAAACAAACCTGATTACCATACTTTTGCAGAATTTAGTATGTACCAAGCAAAATTATTTTCAAGAGATACATGAAAAAGAAAAGATCTGACATCACAAAGACTTAAATTTTAAAAATTAAATGGAACTTTACAGTTAATAAACCATCACATATCTGCCAACAATGCATCACATGACATAGTGAGTTAAGTCTTCCTGTTGGAAGCTTTTCTACAAAACCATTAAGTTTCTCATTAAATTGCTTTTACTTTAGGAGTGATAAGAAATTAAGTTTTTTATTTTTGTGAATAGGCACTATATAAAAGTAAACGAGCATAAAAAAATATACATAATTCTGAAATTCTTGAATTCTGCTCATGTTTTATATTAAGCGACAAGGAAGGAAGAAATACTGCAAATATCCTTTTTACAGTCTCACTTAAAAAAAAGATAAGCAATCACTGAAGTGCATATATTAGCTAAATTCTAACGAGAAGACTAATGAGACTGTTAAATTTTAAGTCTAATGATCTTTGTTTTTCTTTGCATCTGAGTGATTGCTTCTTCCAACGCAAGATCAAAGTCTTCACCACATACATATATTTCCTTCCTCCCTTTAAAGCTTTGTAAGAGCAAATCACTCAGTAATATGCTTTAAAACCTAATTTCTCACCCATCTAAAAAAATTATTTGGAACCAACTCCTCCTGGACTTCACAAAGCAGAGTTCAGTGCACCACAAATCTCCTGACTAAGGAATGTGCAATTTCTGAGAAAACAGTTCTTGTTTTCACTGTCTTACATTCTTCTCTCATGGATTTAAGATAAATTCATCTCAGAGCTGGTTACATTTAAACATTTCCTGAGGTATTAAAATATTCCTTTTCCTATTCCTAGGGGGACAAGGATGCACAGAAACGGACCTTCTTCCTTTCTACGCTATTGGAAAAGTCATCGTGTTCAACAGAGGAGGAAAATGAAGGCAGACCTGATAGCAATTAGGAAAAGTCAGTGCACTGGTGACCAGCTCTCCACAATAGTTTCAGTATTTGGTGAATGTGGTCTAGTGTGCCCACTATACTGGAATCCCATTACTCCAGACAGCAGAATAATTAATATTCCCAGACTCACTGTTTTTCATACTGTGCTTTGAGGAAAGAAAATGGGTAAGGACAGAAACCCCATAGGCTTAGGTCACGAGAAATGAGATATCAAAGGATGTTAAGGGCATCCTCCCACTTACATTTTTGTATATCAATTTTGATATTTTATCTAGCAGGTGTTCCTGATTCTTTTTTAGCACAAAGTAAGAGTCAGAAGAGGAACACTACTTCACAAGCCAGATACTGTTTACAGAGGCATCTTGTAAATACGTAAATGGGTTAATTATTTTTTAATAATAGATTTTCTATTGCTTTAGAACAGTTGGAACAAACAAACAAGACAGCAAAACCAGAAGCAACAACCTAATGTTGCAGAAAATTTTTCAAGAAATTGATTAATTCAAACAACCACCATGACTGGATCATTAATATTTTAAAGAAACAAAACAAACTTTCTCCTGCTTGTTTTACTCATGATTTTCCCAAGTAATCCCCAAACCCCCAAAATGCCCCCGACACAACAGAAACAGCCTCCACACAAAACAATTTCCTAAGTATGTCAGTAATACATATCTAATTACTAAACTCTTGCCAAATGGACTATATTCAGTTGAGATTCTGAAAGCATTATTTTAAAAAAAACTTTTTCCTTTCCTATTTTTTGTAAAGAAATATCATATCCTTTGGCAGGAAACAATAATATTCTGTTTCTCTGAAGGCAATCTTCACTGTTAACATGCTACTAATCATGTCTGTCTTTCAACTAAGACTTCCTATCCTCCAATACAAGGAGCAAGAAAGGGTTTAGTTAAAAATTCAGTTCATTTAAAAGAATGATTGAAAATGAGATCAAAATGACCATTAACAACAGAACTAACCCAGGCTGGAATTTGAAATAACTGTAAAATAAACGCAGCTGTTATTTTTCTGTTTTTATTAAATTGGTACTTGCAGAATTTAGACTAATAGAAGAAAACTAAAGCTGTTTTAAAAAGCAATAGAATGTAATTTATCAAGTTAGTCTTCTTGAGGAATAATGGAGTTTTTCACTTACCAATTTAGCCTCAGACTGCACTGGCTGTGGGGAGGAAGGCCCTGGGATTCCTGGGATACTAGGCACCATGGTGACAGGTCTAACAAGCTGACCAGATAAAGTATAAAAATGAAGAAAACCTGAGTATATTATCATAACAGAGAGCATATGACAGCACTACCCTCTGAAGCCAAAACAGCTATCAAGCTGCTTAAAACTAAGTTCTATGCTGCACTTAATGCAAATCTGCTCCACTTTCAAATTAATATAGCATCATGCTTACTTACTGGAACTGCAGCAGGGACATGCACATTAGAATTTGTGATAGATGCAGGAATAGCAACAGGCATGGTTTGTCCATTAGGAAGATGTAACAGCAGAGGAAAAGGACCTGGAACTGGACTGAAAAAGGAATGAACTATATAAAAGAAAACTTACTCCAGAGAAGAGAACAAGTCTACACATTATTTTGAATTGGTTTGTTTGTTTACAGTTGCAATGCAATATTTATTTGGAGATCAAAAATATGAACTTAGTGATGTTGAGAACATGGGATTATATTTCACATGTAGTGAAAGTTGTATGTTTCGTACGTAATAAAGCACCACATTACACCAAAGCATCTCAAATTTGTACATTAATTGCAGAAACAGTAACTGAAAGTAAACAAGATAAAATATTTTCAAATTCTGTAAGAAAACATTTTACTGAGATTTATGTAACTTACACTATGGGTCTGTTAGAGGACGGAGCCTGGGTAATAACAGTGCTAGACGTTGGTGACGGTATTGCCTGCTGAATAATAACACTTGAGTCGGAACTCGTGAGTAATACATTAGGAACCTGTAGCGATGCTGGACGAACTATTGTTGATGTAGGCTGTGCGGTCTGCTGCAGTGACACTTCCTGAGGAAAACCAAAGATTAATCAGTTTGTAAAACACAAGTATAGATCATTAATTCTGTTAAATGAACACAGTTTGATGGAACAAATCAGAATTTCTGCAACATTATGCAAGTGGAATGGGCTATACAATTAAAAACATTAAAAAAAAATCCCCTTTGGATGAATCATTTAAACTATCAAAGTGAAATTGTTCCAATGACAGTGATCTTAGTTTTATGACAAACCCTGGCTCAATTTATGCTAAGGCTACTATTACTTATAATTCAGTTTTGATCAGGTGTTAAGGTTTTTTTGGCCAAGAAACCCATGGCACTATCAGCACCAGCATATCTACCCACACTTAGAATAAGGAAAACATTTTATGGTGTCCTTATGTACATTTCAGTTTCAGTCCATTGTTCTGGATTTAAATAAGAGAAACAAAAGAGTTCTATGCTTCAGTTAAAAGAAAAAAAAAAAAAAAAATCAGTCTTTTTTTAATCCTTTACCCCTTACCCGTGTACTACTTAACCGGAGTGCTACTAAGTTAAAAATACCTGGAGTGTTACATTCATAGCTATGCAAAATATATGCATATCCTGACGCAGAAGAAATTATTTGAGCACAAAAATTAAAGTTCCTTAGTTGCAAGTAAATAGTAGACAGAATTGAAAAGCTGGAAAATGTCTTACTGTAACCAATGACTTCCTTCTCAGGAAACCCTTGATATTGTCAGACTTCAGATTTATCTTCAGACAGGATTTTTTCCAAATTATTTATTCTTTTGACACTAGCCACTGCAATCAATGGCACAAAACTCCACACTATTAAGACCAGCAGACTCTAGTTGCTCCACTGTTAAACTGTAATTCACAGAGAACGTCTCATACCCGTGTCACATAGGCTACATTGCTTACCATTTGCTCTGAACTGAGCTTAAGTTTTAAAAACTCATCCAAAAGCTTTAAGTAGTAAGGTTTTAACTGTCTTACAGATTGTTTTTCTTTTTATACATCCATTGCAAAATGTGTGTGCTGCTCTGAGCACTTCATAGAGGTGGGCTGGCAAACTGTGGGCTTTAAAAAAGAAAGAACTTCAGACCATGAAATTTTCTCCCTTCAGAATTTCAGAGGCTAGATTTGTCATCAGGGTTCATTAGTTCATTCAGGCTTTTCCCTAAGGGAAAAGTTTAAAATATTATTTACAGCGAATGAGAGTTTTTGGGGAATAACAGTGACCTGTACTGAGGAAAGCAAGATTTTTTTCTTTAGTATCAATCTGGTGTATTTGTAAGTGTTATAATATTTGAACACAGTACCTAGAATTACAGATGAGCATTCAGTCAAAAGAAGAAAACATTCAGTATGGAATTGCAGAAACAGAAAAAAAATGGGAAGAGTTGACTAATGCATATTCTTAGGACATGATTAAACATTCTTTTGCAAATGAGTAATTTGGTATAACAGCTATTCAGTGAGAAGAGCCACAGGGAAAGCATAAAGGAGACTGAACTGCTTGACTGTGGGAAATTAGAGAAAGGCATAAGAGGAGAATACTTGCCCTGATAATCTTTTGACAATGGTCAACTCAGAAATGAATATTGTGTCATTCCTCACTGGTTTTAGCTTCACCCTTTCCTGCCTGCTCTTTGCCACTACTACCTGCCTCATTACTGTGACCAAGGAGCCCTGATAAAGTCCACTTCCACTGTAGGGATCTGACAGAGGAACACCCATGTTTGCCCCAATAGCCAACAAAAGTGTAAGAGCTCTTTTTCCTATTCTTCCTTTCACCTGAAACATCTTCATACATGGCAGCCACATATATATAAAAAAGTATATTATAAATATAAATTTAGATATATGAACACCACAGAATAAACAGCTAAAGCAAAGTAATTCTAATCTCCGTAAAAGGGGAAAAAAGACAGTCAGCTCACAGCAGCCATGAAGTCATGTACATAGCTTTAATACAAAAATGTAAACTAATCAGATATTCAACCATTCTCAACACCAGTAATGCTGTAACAGCCCCTTCTGTATGGATTTATGTGAGTGGCTTCTGTAAGTACCTGTGTGTGTGGATGGGGAAATAGCCATCTTTAAGATACAGAAGAATAGACATTCCAAGAGGCAGAGTGTGAAAGTCTCCCAAGAATGGATAAGCTCCAGAGAAAGCCAGCCCCCTTGAATTTGCAATGCTTCATAAACCGACAATAGCTGAATCTGTACAAGGCCACTAGCATGTGTACACACACTAGCATGAAAATGCTGCACAATTCAGACAACATCCACAGCAGCTGCTATATATGAACAAAGACTAGAGGATTATAAATACACTTGATGAAAGAACGGACTCCTTGAAGGACTTTCATAGAATCATGGAATGGTTTGGGTTGGAAGTGACCTTTGAAGATCACATAGTCCAACCCTTCTGCCATGGGCAGGGACATCTTTCACCAGATCAGGTTGGTCAGAGCCCCATCAAATCTGGCCCTGAATACTTTCTGAACACCAACCTAGAAGTCACTGGCACATCAGCACAACCTTCCACCTCTGAGCAGGCAGCTGGGATTGGCCTCCCCACTGTTGCTGCAACCTGGTAACTACGTGAGCAAGTAAGTTACGGCACTCTGTGAATACTTACTGGCTATTAATAACAGCAGCTTAATTAATGGGTGTTCTAATAAATACTGACTGTAAAACTGGGTCTCTCCCTGGCTTGATCCCCTACTAAAAAAAAGGCAATTTGCAACTTTTACACAAAGTGCTGTATGGAAACCAGATTTCAGCAATGGTCAGAAGATTAATGTATAAAATTCTGAAATAAATCTATAAAATTCTGAAAACAGAAACCTCTCATGCACACAATTATTTCTGTGTGTTATTAAAGACAGCATTTGTGCTTTGTTTAAAAGATCAGGAATAACCGTCAACTATTAAAGGAATAACACATTCACTGACAGGGGTGTTAATACAGTTGAAAACAAAGTTTTTTCAACTTGGTCTATGCTGCACTCTGAAAAATGTATGCATGTACTAGTGACTACAACAATGGGGCAGTAACACAAGCTGCAGATTTAAGAAGTATGGAGCTAAAGGAAACTGACGTTTTATTAGCATATAGAAACAAAAACATAGGCATACCAGACTGACAGAAGATACTAATTGGCCATCAAAACATTGCACTAACGAAGTATGAATTTTGCCTGAAATAATAGTTTGTAAATATATTCTGCTAAAGAAAGAAAAATAGAAATTAATTTGCAATCATGATATTAAGCCAAAAAGATCTTACCTTTACAAGAAAGAAGTTTAAGCCTATTCAAAGATATTAGAGACTTACTGAAAGGACCTCTCCAACCCTTTTATTCTTGAAACTAAAAACAACTGAATTGGAAACTATGTTACAGAAGAGGCCTGTTTAAGAAGTGTTTTCAGAGATGCATATTTGTAACTATTTTGTATCTAAAAGGAAATATGCAATAACTTCCTAATACTATCAATGAATACACAGAATTCTTTATACAGAAATGCAGATGGCCAGAACTAGTAATCGATTGCAGTATTACTGTAATAAAACAATTGGTTTTAAAATAATTAGGTTAGGCAATTAGCTATCTGACAACAACTAAGTCTCTTGTGAAACTCTTTTGAGGGTCATTCTTTAAAGTACTGTTAATAAGAAACTATAAATGAGTTTGAAAGCTCTCAAAGAATAAATTAGGTTTCATTTGCTTATTATTTTAAGGCTAAAAGGCTTTATATACTTCTAATGATATCTTGGTCTGTTCAAAGCAGAATATCACCTCTTATTGAAGCCTAACAGAACTCATGGAACTCTCAGAAAACTAGGAAAAGAATTAAGCATAATTTTTAAAAGTCTCTAAGAAATTCATAGAATCACAGAATGGTTTGGGTTGGAAGGGACCTTAAAGACCATCTAGTTCCAACTCCCCTGCTGCGGGCAGGGACACCCTCCACTAGACCACATTGCCCAAAGCCCCATCCAACCTGGCCTTGAACACTTCCAGGGATGGGGCCTCCACAATCTCTCTGGGCAACCTGTTCCAGTGCCTCACCACTCCAACAGTAAAGAATTTCTTTCTAACATCTAATCTAAATCAACCGTCCTTCAGCTTAAACCCATTACCCCTTGTCCTGTCACTACACTCCCTGATAAACAGTCCCTGACCATCTTTCCTGTAGGCCCCTTCAGGTACTGGAAAGCTGCAGTTAGATCTCCCCAGAGCCTTCTTTTCTCCAGGCTGAACAATCCCAACTCTGTCAAATTCCTTTGACAACTACAAGGAAAATTAGAATTCTTGCACGTACATTAACAAGCTGTAATCATTTAAGGCTACTAAAATACATTCAGCCAATGAAATGGTTATAGTGGCATATATATTTTAAAACCAGCTATGTTCTGAAATAAAACAACCTTTCCCTCTTTCAATATATCTACAGAAGGAGAACATAAAAATCTGAGAAAACAGCAACACTCTGCTCACATTTCTCAACTTCTGCAGGCCACATGCAGCAGCACACTCCTAGCAGCACCCTCATCTTTGCTCAGCTTGTCTCTACAATCAGACATCAGAACAGCATTGAGCGGCAGCAGCTTTTCACTTCAGCACAGTTACAGTGACAACACTGAAATTACTTCATGAATGAGACAAGTTTATAAGTACTGCCAAGCATTGAGATATAATTTTCACTTGTAATGATGCTGTTGAGATAGTGAACCACTACTGCATAAAGATATTAATATTATCTCTTGCCAGAATTAGAGTACTTGGAATAAGTATTCACAGCAAAAAGCCAAACTGACCTCTGAAATACAGAAGAAATGAAATCAAGATGACTTAAGATTTGGACTATGATTTGCTTAATGTAAGCAGCTCTTTACGTGTATTCCTTTGAACTACTTTTGCTATATTTGAGACTACGTGATTGCCTTGATTCCCTATGATTACTCATCCTTGCTAACTAATAAAACTCAGCAAAGATTTGTAAAGACAAATCTGAGTTGAAACTCTCTTAAATTTCTATCGCACACTTAAGGCTCTTCTCTCACTGCTGCCCATTGGCAGGAGAAGAGAAAGTTGAAACCAGAGAGGTTCAGACTGGATCCAAACAAAGACACTTTCACCACAAGAACAGCCTGGCCCTGGAACAGGTTGTGCTGAGATTGCACAGCCTCCCTGCTCTGAGGTTTCAAGACCAGACTGTGTAAAGCCCTGAGTAACTTGGTCTGATCTCAGAGCTAACCCTACTTTGAGGGCCAGGAACTTCCTGCAGTCCCTTCCAACCTGAACCACCCTGTGATCCTCAAAAGTCCTACTGATTTTTGGGAATAAGGTAGCTAAATCCCTCAAATACAGACTGCCCACTGAAGATGCACATGGAAAAAAGACTGACCAGAGCAATCATATTGCTTTATTATGTTCTGCTCCTACTATTTTTATTTATTGAAGTAGGAATAGAAATAATTAATTCATTTCGCTAATTTTGATTCATTTTGGGTTCTTTGAGGGAACTCCACATGATGAAAACACTGCAAGTCTCAAAGTTATCATAACTATTAAGCCATTTATTTCTTCTTTAGAGCAATAGTTCTAAAACTGATTTGACTACAACATCCTCTAGTGACAGACAATACCTCAGTCTTCTATGAGTATTCAAGTAAACACTAAACAAGCAAATGCCTGAGATCACCAGTTCTATAGCCTATAGAATATGAAATTTGAAACAAAATTATCTGGTGCTTAGCTTTGAAAGACAGCCTATTCACCCCTGACATTTTTGTGGGACATCCCCTGCTGTTCCACAAAACAATTTATGGTGAAACATAGGATAAACATAAAAATATACACATGAAGAGTCAAACTGTTGACATTATTTAAAAAAAAAAAAAAAAAATCCAAGAGACTGAACTTTCTTTGCTTTTTCATGAATGATGATACATAAAACAGAATAAAGAGCCCTTGTAGCTTTTTCTAACCTAGGATGAATATTAAATTTTATTTCCTTTCTGGCTTTACTGGATGGCCAGTGCGAGGCAAAGAAATAACTGTGGTGAGCAGAGCTAACTAAAGAATTGAACTAATTAAGTATATATCCACAGAAATATGGCAGATGAAAATTCTTTTCCTTTCAACCAGGTAAGTAGTGTGGCTATCACCATGTACAATAAACTTACAGGTCATCAGAAGATTTGAAAAATGAATGCCAATAAGAAAAAGAAAAAAAAAAAAGGGTTCTGACCTTTTCATCATTGGTAGTAGACTCCGGATGAGGTAAAGGACTATCTTGATGAGTTGTCTCTACAACAGAAGGTTCTTCAATTTTATTTCTTATAATTGGTGTTGCAAGAGGAGACAGATCTAGAGGCATCTAAGAGCAACAGCATAAAACAAAATTACTCAATGTCTAAAAAATTAAAATATGCAAGAAAACATAAAAAATTAAAGAAATATCAGCCTTGTAACAACAAGGAGGTGCTGATGTTTGGAATATGTTGATGCAGATGCATTACTAGCCATGACTAATTTTCCAGCATCTGCATGATTACCAATCTTCAGTTAACACTTCGTCTTTCAACACCAATGTCAGACTAAGTATTTTCTTCTTGAGCATTAAAAACACTCTTAAAGTCTTCCTTTCCCAAGAGTCACAGGAAAATTATAGCTGAGGAAGGACTGTGCTATACTTAAAAATTACAGTTAGAAGAAGGTATTATGCTTCTATATATTATCATATCACATGCCACAAAGGACAAAATCCTAACTACATTTCCAAATTAAGAAAACTACTGTGGACAATTAATTTCAAACTTATTGCAGCAAATAATTATTGAAAAAGCAAGTTTTATATTACTACACAGATAAAATCCCCCAGGACATCTGAAATGCCACAAAGAAATTAAGTTAGAAAAATACTTAAACTAATACTATAGATTTGAAGGCCTATACTCCTGTATAGTCTGCTATCCAAACACTTTTGGAAGAAGCTTCCTTCAAAGCTCATCATCTATTTGTGTTCTTCCATATGCTCTTTTTTTTTTTCCAATTCAACTCCTAGTTTTCCTACAGAATATATTACTAATGGGAAGACTGTTAAAAGTGGAATCTTTTTTCATACCACATCTGAATATGAAATAATGTACAAAAAACCTAACTATCAATCCCCTAGAAAGTGTGCTATTATGGTAAATTTTTCCACCCCTTGCCGTGATTGCTTATATATATTAACCAACCACAGATATTGCAGGACTGTGTTTCATCTCATAGCACAGAGGGCAGCTTGGAAAATTAGTATCAATTAGAGAAATTTTTAAAATGTTTACAATATTTTGCAATACCTGTAACCAAAGTGAATAAAATTTTTCATTTGCAGAAGTGTTTAATATTTGGGCTCCTCACCAGTTATGACTGGGAAATACTAAAATAAAGTAGAGACCACATTTAAATGTATGGGAGGTTCCTCATAAAAACATGAAGTTGCTAAACAGACACAGTCAAAATTTTTCTTATATTGCAATCTGACATTAAAAAAAGTAAATGTTTAGGTTGTGATCAATAATTTCTAGGCAAAAGTGATTTCAACACAGTGAATATAATTATAACCAACTTACTGACGCTTCTTTAAATTTAGTCAGTATTTAACTCTCATTATCATTACTATTGATTCTTAGAACAACACTGGTATTTTAAAAACTAATCAAAATAATCAGTGTTCACATACTATTCTTTTCACATGCGTTTCTTGCAAATGTTTTTCTTTCTTTACTTACTTCTTTACTTTCCAGACTTATTTTTTGCTTATTCAGGGTCTAATGAAATTTCAACCAAAGCTAAAACAGACTAGATACATTGACTTTGTCTTAATTCTTGAAGTATCTCATTGTCCATTCTAACTATGTAAAATTAATCAGGTAGACTAATCTTCAGAAGAGTAATCTTAGATTTGCATTCCCTCCATACAATATATATAAGCAGCTGGCAAATGATTATTGGTACAGTTTAGAGGGCAATATATAAATCCAAATTTGCTTTTTTTAATGGAATTTCTGATATGAAAACAGTAGAAGCTCTGAGAAGAACAAGTTTTTGAACATACTTTCTTAATGTCATCTTCAGAAGCCTTTTTAAACTCATTTTCAAAAGGACTTGCTAATTCATTGAATAAGCCCACTTCTTCACAGTTCTTCAAGAATCGAGTTGGTGTTGGTGTCTGATCTGAAATGAACAATTTTATTTTTATTTTGAAATACCATTTATGAACCTACTTATTGTAAATACTTTTTAGAATAAAAGCAAACTGAAAGAGACGACGTGGTTAAGAACTTTCTTATGCCTTGCCAGCAGGCTCCTCTCTGCCTTGCAGGGAGGCCAAGCAGAAAGCATACTCCACCTGCTGGAGACAAGCAACTAAAGTTTGCAAATCAGTAAGCCCCTTACAGTCTTGGGAGCATTTCTTCTGTGTCCAGAAACCAGAGGGAGCTATTCTGAAGTGCCTTCTCTAACACGGCACATCACTTCAGTGAGCAAGCAGGCTCTCTTTTCAAATAGAGATAAGGCCTACATGAAGGCTTTCATTAAAAAAGCAGCACACAGCTCATGGACAGTTTGCTGCTTTTCTTCTCATATTGTGAAAACAGCAGTGGTTACTTCCAAGTGCATGGAAGTTCTAAAAGGAAGCAAAGGCTGATATCGTAGACAAGATTGTATTGACTGCTATGATGCCTGGATACTCAAGCTGGAATCACAAGACTTCCAGTGTCTGGCTGACTACAGCACAAAACAGCTTCAAAAAAGTCTTTCTATAAAATTTTTAGTACTATGTAAATTCCCCTTATTTCACTATTATTACCAGGTCAAAATTAACCACATTTGCCAGAAAGTTACCTGCAATTAAAATATTGTAAAGTGGTATTATGTGCACCTTACTAATGTAGGCTGACATTTACGACTAACAGTTCATACACAGGAATGTGGCTGCGAAGAGACAGACGCTGCCGTGGTTTCATTCTCAAACACCTCATTATTTGACAGGTCCCCTTTCTTACAGTATAATTGCCAAGGATCACGTTTAGCATTTTAAAAATGTGTAACTGCTGGTTTAAGAGTAACAATTTTTTTATCTGGTTGTCCTAACAAATTAGCCACTTACAAGGAAAAAAAATTTCAGAAAATGTCTGAAAGCCTTTGTTAAGTTCATTTAGGCTGTTCCATCACTGAAAAAAAGCCACTCTAACTTTAGAATGATTAGCATGTGCTATCTTGAGCCAAGAACTTTAAAATTTATAATGCAGTCAATCATCCATTGGTGTTTACTTCTGATCCTGGACAAACAAAAGAGTTAGTTACAACAGACCAAGGGTATACCATGAATTCAGAAGTGGAAATACAGTAAAAGTATTTTGAATATAAGCTAAAATTAAAACAAAATTTTTTAATCTTGCTTCTACTATCCCATTTAAAGAATAATAATTACCAATTCATTCTTCTAATGTCACCATAGTATGTAAAAAACACTACACATTTTAAATTTTAAGACAAGTAATATGAACAAATAATTAAAATTTAAATACAGTTTAATGTAGTTAAAGATCCTGTTAGGTATAGCCTTTATTAGTGTGTGTTCTTACTGAATGCTTATTACATAATTTAATCAATTATTAAAGTACTCATTATTGAGAAGTATATAGAATATATATCAGATACAAATACAAGTTACATATGGAGAATAATACTGGCTTCAAATTCCGACAAAAGCTGTTCATGTATGAAAATACTGCATAAGCACACAGACAGCTAGAGTGAAGAAAACGTTTCATATTTTCTTAATATAAGTCTATGCATTATGTACAGAAAATACAGAAAATGTTTGCCCATTCCAGCAGAAAAGTGCATAAACTAGTTATAAAAGTATATACTAACCAGCCACAATGACACTATCATTACGAGCCGGACCAAATTTCAGTGTCATCTCATGTTTATGTTTATGGACAGCCAAATGATCCTCATTGGTAAAACGCTGCAGCAGAAAGTTTTAAGAGATTGTTGTCATTTTCAGTGTAAACAAAGTAAATGCAATTCTACAGAAAGTAATGTTTACAACATGTAAAACTATCATCACTATGTTAACACACAACCCTCTTAGGCAGATAAATCTTGTCCCTTGGTCAACAACACCAAGCAGAAACATTACTAAACGCAAATGAAGTTCATAGTAACTAAATAGTAATGGTATCAGGGATATATCAGGAAATGGTAGTATAAGTACCTGCATTCATCAAAAGTCCAAGATAAAATTTCAGAGTGCTACAGACTTCATCAATGGTTAGCAAACAGGCATTTGCTATACTAATGAATCCTGACAATGTTTAGTAATTGATTACCACTATTTGCTATCTTTATTGTGCATATTATCACAATAATGAGAATGTAATCACAAACGCAGACTTCACTGTCTATAAAAATAAAATAAAAGTATAGCTCCTGCCCCTGACCATTTACTATATAAAATAGGAGGCAGACAGAACGAGAAACCCTGGAACAACGTCAGACAACTGAAAAGCTGTGAATGAACTAAACTTATCAGCATTTTAAAAATCTCTCAGGTTTTCAGAGGTATGCCAGTTTTGTGCATACTTCCCCCAAAATTTGGGGCATATTCTATTAAAAAAAAAAAGCACTAAGCAAACTAGGTGCTGTAAAATAGATATTCTCACTTTTACTAACTTGAAATTTGCTATGCATCTGTAATTGTGGATAAAGTTAGTGTTTCAATTGAGATAATCTAAGAAAATGTTTGCCAAGGTTTCCTAAAAAAAGAACACGATATTCAAATTCTTACTTTTCTTTGTGAACATTTGAGTCCCAAATTATGTTTCTGATTATTCCTCAATAATTTAAGTGACTCCACATATATCTTGTAATAGATACACACCAAGCATCATCTCTCAGAAAACAATACAGAAAGTTCAGTTAACCTCAGCATACAGTCACTCAGAATACTTCTGTGAGAAAGGACATGTATGTGTGGCGCTGAGAGGGAAATTAAAAATGCAGGGTCACTGAAAGACAGGGTGATACAGGCCAGGCACTTTTTTGGTTAGAACTCTGGGTTCCAAATGCCCAGCTCTCCATAGCTCCTGTACCTTACCTCTAGATACTACATAAGCCAGAAATCTTGATGCTCTATCACACTAAGAGACTTAAGTAGATCTTTCTGTCCCCACTACATGATGGACAGGCTCCTTCAGAGAGAATAGGATCTCCAGATCCTGACTCCCTCTCTCTATTCTACAGTACGAGCTGGCATCTGGAGAAGCCTTGCCCATTTTCTCTCTTCTCCTTCACTGGAATCAAGGATTGCTGCAGACTCGTGACGTGTCTTCTATGAGATTTAATTGCCAAAACACTTCTGACAGAGCTCACATCGAAACGAGATTCAAATAGGATGAGGACAAACATGTTGCTTAGGAGAAGACAATCCTCTTCCATTACTTTTGATGTCTCTGAACATATTAGACATAGTAAGAAATCTTAGTCCTTTCCTGCTTTAAATATAGAAGGCTCTATTAAAATAACATTAATGCTGTCATTCATCATAAAAACTAAGTTTTCAGAATAAAAATGAAAGTGTTTTGAACTCAAAATCCAAATAAATCCAAGTGCACTAATATAATGAAAAAATACAGCTTAAGAAATCAACTCTATATGAAGGCAGCAGGGATGTCCATCTCATGCAGCAGATAATGCAAATTCATTTGTTTACAGGTTACTAAACTAAAGCATTAAGACAGCTTCCTTTAAAGCAACTATCTGCTAAAACGCTCAATAAGATTTTTACTTTTCTGCTCACGTTCAGCTCTGTATTGACTAATGCTATTTAATAGAATACATCAAAACTACAACAGGAATTGAAATACATTTTGTGGCTTGCATGCTGTTAGCATCTTCCTATGTACAAAAATATACATAAATAAAAATTATGCCATCACTTATTTGCAGTCACCATGGTTGTGAAGATTACTGACAAGCAAGCTTCACAATGAGCTCCGCACTAATGTTCAAATATTCTGAAAAATACAGGCTACCTGATACAAATTAGGATGTTTCTTGATTTATTTTTTTTTAAGAAAGGCAAACAAAGCAGGGCTAATGAATGAAGGTGTCTTCAGCTCAGAAATGGTAATTTAATTAGTGTTTTTCTTCTATAGATAGCATTTTCTGAATTAACACACAAAATGCTATAAATTCTTGCTGTCACCTGTTTTTCAGCACAACATAGATACTTTCTACCAATTACCATAAATCACCTTTTCTTCGATCCCTAGAAATATGTTTCACTGTTTTACTTTGGTTTGATCAGTGTTAATAACATCAAGACAGACCATTACCTGGCCGCATCCAGGGGCAGTGCATAAAAAGGGTTTGTCATCACTCATATTCCACAGGTCGTTGTGCTACCTGTATCAAAATGAGAATGGAACAAATTTTACATATATTGCAACAAATTATCAATCCATCAACATCCAAAGAATATTTTAATATTCCATGGGCAAGAATTTCTGCCTTCTGGCTATACTAAGAACCTAAATACCCCAGATTCAAGTAGAGTCTGGATTCCAAGCTCTGTCAGGAAGGTACACAAAACCCAATTGAGACAGAGTAGGTTTTGAACACACATCTCAATCGGAAAGGCAAGTATTCATATGTAACATGACTAATTGCAAAAAATATCTGAAAACATAGACAACTTGTTATTGAAATAAAAATACATTGTCATAATCGTCCAATTCCCACAATTAAAAAAAGAACAAAGTAGCAGACAATATCGAGTAGTCAAAGATACAGTGCCAACAGATGAGGAAAAAGTTGATTCCTTAGTCTTTTCATAATCTTTACAGCCCATCTTTAAAGATAAGTTAGCAGATAGCCCTTTATGTAAACTGTTACAAATTTAACTACAAAAACATGTACTTTATTAATGTTTCAGCTATACAACTAAATTACCAACAGGGTAAAAAATATTTAAGAAGAGATTTTAATTAGATTTCATGCTGTTTTGTATACTCACCACACATACTAATATACATACCTGCCAGATTTCACATATAAACCTGTTTCATAGGGCAAACTATCATATCCTCCTTTTCATGGCAATGAACTGCAACTGAAAGAAGATATTAATTACTATGTGCATTAAAACATGTAACAATGTATGATTTTGTAAAGATAAATGATATAATGCACACTATTCACCCACGAAATGCAATAGTTTTCCAAAGAAATTATTTACTTCAATACACCCTCTAATTAGTTATGCCTTCTCTCAGACAGAAGGAGATGCTTCTACTCTTTCATCCTGCAAGCACAGAACAAACATGGCAAGGTACCATCACTCCGCTTCAGAAAGACAAAGAGGGACACAGGCGGGATTGAGCCAACCTGTGCTGGACAATGCACAAAACTAGTATGTGACATCAGTGACAAAAAATAATAAAGTTCTGGTACAATGAACATATAAAATCAAGATATTGTTGTCACATCACTAAACCCCATAGTGATAAGGAACTAATCTCAACACTAAAGTTACCTTAGGTAAGTAACGGGCGGGGGGGGAATGAATGTACCAAATTAGCTAATTAGCCAGGAGATGACAAGCACTCTCAACCCATCTGTGGCTTTACCCTGGAGGAAATACATTCATCTTTAAATATGAGTATTTGTATGGAGATCTAACAATGTTAGTTCTGAACACTGCTTAGCTTGATGAGGCAAATAAAGATGAATAAAGATGTCTTTATGATTAAAGATCATAAGCAGAATAAATCCATCTCTCCCCCAGCAGGCTGCAAGGCTTCTGGAATTGTCTGACCATCCTAAGAATGTATACTTCTGGTACACCGTTTAGCACTAGACACAAGACAGATCAAGCAAGCATAAGCAAGTCATTTAAGACTTAATACCTCTGGGTTCTGTAAGGAACACATTACCTGATCCTTTTGCCTGCGCCTGTAGAGTAAAAAGTTAGTGGTTAGACTTTCTGGATATTACTTCAAGGAGAAGGAGATCCCAATGTCCTTGGTCATGGGCACTGAATAGTAAAGAAGCAAAACATGGAGCAGAGAAGATTCCAAAGTGTCATTTCTAAATATATATGTTCAACAAAATGAGGATACTGAGCTGAGACCACAAGCCAAGAAGAGATGAATGGCTGCCAGACACTTCAGAGTCTTTGGCACTGACAACTCAGGGAAACATTTATGTCCCAAAGAAAGGATGCCAAAGCAAATCGGGGATGGAGATTGTTCTGCTGTTCTTCACAGAGAGTTCATAACCTGTCTCAAGTTTCTGAAGGGATGAAATATTTCTCTAACTGTTCAAACTATGAACTTGGTACTGTCACCAATAGATAGTATGAACAAGGTTATGGGCAAGTTTGAATACTCACGACTAAGACTTCAGGGTGAAAAAATAAGGCCCTTATCAATGAAGCTTTAGGATTACATCCTTATGCTATTGGGAACTTCAACAGAGTTTATTACCCTTGCTCAGCTACGCAACAGTCACTTTTTTTTTTTAAATGCAGGTTCAAAACTAACAGAATCAGTCTCTCTTAGATCTCAAAAGGAATTTGCTTTGTTAAATCTTGATCATGAGGCACCATACAGTTATATATGGCTACAATATTCACATATGGTTATATATATTATGAACAGGAGTTATATCTGTATCAGAAATGTCTGAAGGTGTAAGAAACGATTCTGGGGTTTGGGTTTTTTTTATCCAAAGAATGAAGATTTTGATCAACCAAAGTGAGTGTACGGCATTTTTTCCCCTCTGTTACTATAATGTGTTGTCCGTCTTTGACAAGCCACAAAATCTACTCGAGCCACGCTATTAGTATTTTTCTTAGGTCATGCAATGTAAAGATCAATTTTTCAAGTCTGATCATTTTCTCCTTTAAAGAAATATTACTGAAACACCTATTTGCACATGAAGTCATTATCTGGTTCCATGTTTTGGTTTGTGAAGCCTGTGGATTTGGAATGCCTGATTTATAAATTAAAAATCAATCCTTGTGAAAAAAAGTGTAATCCTTCTGACAAACACTGGAAAAACATTGGAGATAAATTCATTTCCTGATCTTTGTAATATTATTTGACTGCAGGCCACAACAAATTTTATGAGGCAATGCCTTGTAAAGGTATTCCAGCTAACATCTGAGGAAAAAAAAAAAAGTATCTTGAAACACCGAAATTTTTGCACTTAAAAGAGAAAATAAATTCACTCATGCATTCCAGCATGACCTCGGACATTATAAATCTAAACAGAAACTGGATCTGACAGGATGGGAAAAACAAAGACCTCATGTTCATTACAGTAGTCAAATGGGTAAGGATTTTATTTACCTATTACAAAGACAAATGCAAAGCTTGCACCCAGAACGTAATAACTCCATGCAACAGTGCAGGCTGAGGGCCAAACGGCTGGCAAGCAGCTTTGGGGCAGAACCTGTAACTCCTGCAGCATAACTGAACAGAATTCGGCATTATGTTGCTTGCAGCATCGAAAGCTAACAGCCTACTGGGCTGAATTAGCAAGAGCATAGCAACCAGATGAAGGGAAGTGATTGCTCTCCTTTATATGGCACTCATGAGGCTACAGCTGGAGTGCTGTGTCCAGTTCTGAGCCCAAGACAGATGACAAACCAGAGAGAAACCAGCAGGAGCCTCATCAAAACAGTCAGGAGGCTGGACTACTACATACAAGAGGAATATCAAGAAGCAAAGTTTGTTCAGCATGGAGAAGGCAGGCTAAGGAAGGATCTATTTGCTGTCTTACAATGCGTAGAGAAGACAAATCCAGACTCTACTACGAAAGGATGAGATGCAATATTCACAAGCTGCACCAAGAAATTTATGGACACTTATAAAAGCAGTGGGGTGGGGGGGCGGGCAGGCAGGGCAGAAATCATGCAGTGAGAGCAGCTGAACACTGAAACAGGTTAATCTAGTGGGGCTGTGGAATCTCCATCCTTGGAGATATTAAAAATTTGAGTCGATGAAATTCTGAGCAATCCAAGACAACTCTGAAATCTGAAGTATACCATAAAGACATCATAGCTAGAAAGAGAGGTGAACAACAGCAAACGACAATCCAAACTTCTGACAGCTTTAGAAGACGTAGTGTGGTTAACTTTACAGCCAAACAACTAAAACTGTTGCTGCTAGGGAAAACAAACAAACCAACTAACCCCATCCTTTGCCTCCTCTTTTCCCTCTGGATTGTTTGTTGCCTGACAGGAACAAGACTAACACACAGAAGGCAAATTTTCAGAAAAGTTTGTGATTGCCATTCTGATCTCAAAAGGTTATTGGAGACTGACTGCTCTAAGAAAGAATATCACAGTAAGAAAGAAGAATTTAGAAAATATTCTTCCCCTGAAAACCAAAATAGCAACTTAAAGGCCATCTTGAGAAACATATTACTCACCCAACCAAATAAGAAATAAAATATGTAAACTGCTAACCCAATTGCTACAGATGAATTATAGCCACCTTGGATTGTTACCCAGGCAACAGCAAGCACCTTGTCCCATAGAAAAAGAGATGGTTCCTGAAGCAACCCAGTCTGAATGGGACACTCCAGTCTCATCTCTTCTGATTAACTGAAGAGTTCAGTGCAATGATTCTTACTACAGTTCACTGAACTGCAGCTTTCTTCTGCAGGTCTTCCAACTCTAAATTCCTTTCAGCAGCGTAAATAAACCCATATGTAGAATTCTTTTGAGTTACACTGAGAAAGAGGATCAGAGTTGTACATGGGAAAATCATTAAATAATCTCGGTAGTATAATCAACTTTGGTACTTAAACCAGAATGTAATCTCACTTTTCTTGTGTTTGCTCCATACTTTCAATGCAAAGGTAAAATACTTTCACATCACTCCTATTTAAAATCTCATAAGCCTCTTTTATCACTTTTGGAAAGCAAACAGTACAATATAGTATATAAATAAGTATATATGCATGTTTAAAATATATATAATACAGAGAAATAATAACAGGTTTGCAAGCAATTTACTAATATTTAAGACAGTGTGCTTATTTAAAAATAAAGAAGTTTCTATAAAACATCACACAAATGTTTATCTAAACACGCTACAAAAATAGCTTCAACAATTATTTGTATATTTTTTATAAGATTTTAATTAAACAACTAAGGCACACTTTCTGGAAACTATTACTACATACTATGAGGCTTGCTTCTAAAATACCTCCCTGTAGGCAATTTGGAAAAGAATAGAATCACACACTGACTTAAGCAATGTCCTGTTGGTTACTTTTACTGGTAAAGGTTCTTCTGTTTTCTCTTAATTCCCTGCATACAAGAGCATAGAAAACACAACTGACACCTCATTTCAAATTTTTTTTCTATTAAACATTTAAATAGCTGTTTAAAAATGTGTATATATTGATAATCCTTGCAAAAACCTCTCCAAGTTTGGTGAGAAAAAAAATAATTCTTCACACATACCTAGTAAAGATTCCTTAGACTTGTAGCTAAAGCCTCTGAACACTTTACCTGTATAAAGCACACTGTATGCCAAAAGACCTCTGTGCCCTAACCTGCTCATGGGCTGTGCAGGCTTACCCTGTAATTACTTATTCTGAGCACCGTAACAATACAGAAACTGCCCCCCTGTAATTTCAGGGCTGACACAAACAGTGTGGAAGAAAACAGCCTGAACTGAACACAGAAAAAACAGACAACTATAAAGAAAAAAACCCAAACCCACCAACTTTAAAACTCTTGAATTTCAGCATTGCTCTACTGGCCAGCAAGCAAGCAAGACACGCTCTCACAAGTGTGTCAGCCCCCTAAACTGGACAGTCCATAGAGGACAACCTGACAGTCTGCCAGCTACAGCAGTGGCGCATGGATCCGCTACTGCTTACACGTGGGATGCAAGTCCAAGTTTTGCAGCTAGACTGACCGCTCGCATGTGGCTCCAAGTCAAGAAACATCTCAACATTCTGGTTTGAAACCATGAGAAAGTTGGACAAAAACTGTGTTAGGGACATTGAGACAAATCAGAATTATAGTAGTCCGTCAGCATCTAGTCTCCCTTGGGTCTGTACATTACAAAGTACTTAAGTTACAGTATCAGTGATGTATTTTCCAACGGATGTTTGCATTTCCTCAAGACTGATCGTGTCTACTCAACATTTCCTTTTATTCTTCACATTTGATCTGGGATTGTGCCCCTTTTTACTGCAAGATACAAACTCTTATTGTATGCAGAATTATTAACTCTTAGTCAGCTTTTCTGTAGACCTCATCATAGTGTGTAATTGCTTTAGGTAGCATAACATTTTTAAGATTTTACTTTAAAGCTTCATTTTACAATAGGAAACAAGCATAAAAGGGAAAGGTCACAATTTTTTAAAGTCTTTATTAATTTTAAGAGTTCTACTTAAGATGCGCACTTCTTCAAAGGAAAGTCAAGTGGACTGAATATATTTGCCACAGTAAAGAATAACATTCTCTTAATGGTTACCTGAAGAGCTGAATTTAGTGTTTTGCTTGGCTCCATACAAGAATTTTAATAGACATGCTTCTTTAGATGAGGGGGAAAAAAGTAGCTATTTTTGTTTTCCAAATTTAAACACTTCAAAATTAAGAGAGATGGCTTTATCATGCAACCAAATGAATCAACACAAATCAAAACGAACAGGACACCTTTTATGCTTGCATACATCATTTAATCGCCTCCCACATTTGAGTCTATCTTTATTTCCACAATTTTCTATAGAGTCAGAATTGCAAGTTTTACTTTCAGTAAAAATCAGAAGTTAGTATGTAGACTACACCACTTGCTAAGAAATAACATAAACAAATAAAATCAAGATTTGTATTTTACGGGGAGGGGGAATAATCATTGCTCCACTTACCTCGAGGGACTGGAACAGCTATTTTTTCAGCTTCCTATAAAGCAAAAGAAGAAAGGTGAAGCAAAAGTGGTGTAATAAATACTTGACCATTGCAGTCCACTTTCAAAAGTGTTCTGACTGATTGTATTTGTGTAATGCCACATAATTTAGCATTCCTAAATATAAAACTGGATAATTAAAAGAATGGAGGAGAAATGTTTGAAAAATAAAAACTTTCCTCCTTATAAAGATCACGAGAAAGTAGTTCAGTTGATTCCGCAACAAAGCTATAAGCCATAGTCCAGAATACTTAAAGGTTGTAAACCTCAAAACTGGCTAACAGGAAAATGGCAGCTCCTTCTTCACACTTCATTGCTTAATAGAGTGGTTGTGCTATTTCCTAGAAGACACATGATCTATTTCAGAGAGTTCTGGGGAAGAATAAGGAAGAATGTAATGCCTGCACCTTAATGGTCAGATTTTTTTCTTTAAAGAAGTCAAACATTGGGCACTTTTTGTCGATGCTATGAGTTAACTGCTTGTAACTGATGTGTAAATTTAATTCTATACCTTCCTCAGTTTGTCTAAGATTCCGTAAATAAAGGCAAGAGCATCTGGACAAGAAGAAAAAGATGCGAGAAGTGAGGATGATTGACCTAGCAAGTTCAAATAAGAACAAGAAAGCCAGCTGGACAGATAGTCACAGGTACAGAAACAAAGCAATTTGGTTACTTCAGCTCTGCTGAAGGAGCAGGCTTTTTCCACATGAAGGTACATTTCTGGTAAATGGAGAGTACAAACACAATAAAGAAAGGTCCTTCAGCCTAACACTTCGTGTTGGCTAAGTATGGCTGCTCCCAAGTCCAACCCCTGGGTTAAGTATTTTCCAGAGGCACCTTGATTTTTTCTTTGACTTACTGGAAATTCATGCTATGTGAATACAGCTCTTGTATATAAGTGAAAGGCCAATGAACCGCAGAGAAGAAATATACGGGCGTTAATATTCCACTGATCTTTTTACAATTTGCTTAGAGAGATATTAGTACTTATTTTTTCCCAGGTCATTTATCTAGGTTTGAGTGCCTTAATATTGCCCATCAACCTAACAAACATTAGAAATCCAATCTCCTTTTGCTACATGTCTTTCAAAAATTAAATAAAAAGCTTAAAATTGTTACTTCATTTTTATATTTTTTCAGATTGCATCCCTGAAGTATAAAATTGAATAAAATAATTAATAATTTAATTTTTTTTTAAAAATCTCTAAATATATCACAAATATCCCACTACAGGATTCCCATTGCTCATTTAAACAGAAAGATCTTTTTCTTTCCTGTAAGCAATAATATAAGTGACCATTGGCATTTACCTAGAAAGGGAAACATACTATATTGCTTGGAATAACTTACTGAAGAAAAGCGCTTAGCTGAACTGAAGCCAATGGAAAAGTTCTCAGGCTGAACTGAAACTGACACAGAACAAAGTTGGAAACAGTACAGCATAAACTTCAAAAAAAATATTTATTGCATAATTACTAAATATTGACTCATATTTCTGTCACTAACTACATCCAATGCCTCTTTAGAATGCATATTACTGATCTGAAACAAATGTAGTTAAGTTATGCAGGAGGACAATGATAACGTGAAATCTACTCATTACTCCAAAAAAAAGTTAATAGTATTGAATCATGTTTGTTCCTCTGAAAACAGTTAATGCATTATTTTTACACAGAAATTCAAGATCATTTCAAGAAACCATGAAAAAGTTGAGATTAGAAATAAAATAAACTTTTACAATTAGTAAAGCTTCTCAGAGATATAAATGTGCATTTGTAAGTTTAGACTAATTAATTGTGGAAGGAAAAAAAGAAAAGAATACCTAGTGACAGAAAAGGAATTTTAGGTAACAGATACACCCAAAATTTAATTAAACAAGATTCAACAGCATACCATATCTCAGGCTGCTCAACACATTGTCACAAAACAGAAGTAGCACGAAAACCAGAATTATTTCTAGAATTACGTATGATCGAATTTAAGACCTGAAAGCACCTTATATTAGATGCTGCATAGTCTAGAAGTTTCTGGAAAAAGACATACAAAACATGTTTGTATTTCTAGAATTCAAATCAGGATAGAAGTATCAACTACATTATGAAGAAGATCAAAGACTCAACTAGTTGATGAAGTACTAGCATCCAATACTGGCATTAAACCAAACTCAGAATGGATTTTAGAAAAAGCTGCTTCACTCCATGTATGCATTAAGGTTTTTTTTACTATTTCACATTTCTTTTGATGCATTATATAACAAGCAGTCCCTGACAAAGTTGTTATTTTGGTTTTTAGTAAGACAACTTTCCCATTTTGATTCTGGAATGTAGAATTATAAACACTAAGAGAATTCAAGTGAATGCCTAACTTGACCATAGTCGGTTCCTCTGAAATTATGTCTGCAACTGGATGTCCATTAAGAGGCAGTAACATGTTTCAGCAGAAGGCTGAAGAAATCACATTTAGACACCTATGGATGACTAGGATCACAGGAAAAGTCCTCCCCATCCTATCAGCTACGGCTACATCCAACATAGACCTAACAGTATTACGACCCTAACTTTGGGAACTTTTGGTTTTATTAACTCTAGCTTTACACTCAATAAAAGCTTAGGACATGACATTCTGTGCTGTGAGTAGAATATGACAAAAAGAAACCAAAACTATTATTTCAGAAGGTGGAAAAGAAAATACATTTTAGCCATATACAGGGCCACTATTTGGAAAGCGGTGGATGATTCGGAACTTCCAGCTTTATTAGAATTTCTCACTCTAGTGCAAGGAAACAGGTGACAGTATCACTATCTGAAGACTCTGACTATTTGAAGATTTTGACAGTATCACTACTTCTGGGAGAAAGTAACACAACACAAAGCAAACAAGTGCGTGGATGGGACGTGGAAACACAGTCATGGATCCCATTTCCAGAACAGGGATGCAGAAAGATTGCAGAAAGAATAAGACTGCAGAAGTAACATGGCAGCACACATCCCTTTACTCCAACCATCAAGTCGCACTGTGGCCCAGAACACTTGTGCCTAAAATACCACGCAGCCATCACTGCTGGAGGGCCCGCAATGTGTTTTTTCCCATGAAAGCTTCACAGATCTTTTAAGACAACTCGAGATGCCTAGTGCACAGTAACAGGCAAAGCCAGTGGGGCAACTGGTCCAGGAGGACCACGTCCGCGGCCCGAGCCCAGGCAGGCCACCACCTCCCCGTGGGGCAGAAAAGCTGCCCTTCCCCTCCCTCCCAACACCCACACACACACCGGACCCCTCTCGGCGCCCTCCGCACCAGCACCGGGTACGGACCACGATCTTCCTTCGGAGCAGAAGATGGATGCAGGGAGAGGCCTCCTTGGAGCCGAGGCGGAAAGGCCGGGCCTGGCTGCCCCCTTCCTCCCGCCC